AAGTAAATCCACATCTCTGGAAAAACCAAACCTCAAAATTAGTATTAATCCTTATTTAAAAGGGCAAAAGAAAACTGACAAGAGGTTTAACTTTCTAACAAAGGTCTTAAATTCAAGATAGAGAATATGAAGCAACAGGTCTAAGGAAGCCTAAAAATAGCAGTTAGCTGAGAAGATACAAGGATTACTAACCAGCAGTGGGAACTATAAAAGGGTTTTTACCAAWGCCCCTTCCAAAGTAAAAGGACAAAGTGCAGTATTTTTCATTTGAGGTGCTGGGCTGGCTGCTCCATGACCCCCAGAGCAGTGTTAAAAGCACTCTGTACATGTTACATGCTCCAAATGACAAGAGGAATGCAGGATGGTGGATCTCTGCTCCAGATTCCCCAGCATGGTTTTAGCTGCCATGAATAAAACAGGAAGCAGAGCATCTTCCAGGTTCCCCCCATGCCCCTGACTGTCTGGATGAACTGCAGCTTCCTTTCAGGAAAGAGAAAGGAAGGAGGAGGAAGGGGGAGCGAGGGAAACAAAAAAAGAAGCAGCCAGTTACAATATCAGACAGATTAAAAACTTAACACTAAGGAAAAATACAGAACAACAGGAAAAAAACAGACACTGAAACTTTATCCAGTTACAGAAGCTAAATTTCAACTAACAGAACAGAGTTAAATATTAACATTTGAGAGAAATATGCCCATGTGTTATGCAGCCTTTTAACACACAGTCTTGCTTAAGACACAGAGATCATACATAAGCCATTGTTTTCCTTGCTGGCCACATGAATATATCCTCCCTTAACTCTGCAGTGCTCTGCTGCCTTGCTGCACTAACCAGTCAAACTAAAACAAAAAGCGTGACTGAATGGGAGCTGGCTTAAATTATCTTTRTACCTACTCCTGAAGAAACATTTTGCCTTTGAGACCAATCCACTAAGCCAACTTCCCCTGCTACAGAAGGTTTCATTGGGTCCCTTGCTGTTGATCCACATGCCTGCCTCCACCAGCAATGCACACATTTTGATGCAATCCATCTGACTAAACAAAACAACAAAAAAAAATCCCAAGTTTCTTGCTAAAACGGCAACGATGYACTTACCAGCATTCAGGCAAGCTCCTTTGCTAACATGCCTCCCTCTCGAGCACATCAAATTTGGAACAAGGTCCAGGAGCAAGAGAGAACTGAAAACTGACCACAACAAGCTTCCAAAACAAGAAAGGGGGGGGATAAAAAAAAAAACCTTACTACAGGAATTCAAATCCTGCTTCCACCAGACCCTGAGTCACCTCCCCTCCCTTGCAATAGATCAGAGCAATGGGTAAACATTTCCAAATATGGAGATCAAAACTCCAAAGGATGTCAAAAAAAAAAAAAAATCACCCTTCTCTCCGTGGCTTTGGCACAGGGATGACTTGCCCCTCTGAAGCATGAGCTGAGCACATTGCCCTTGCTGACCTACACACAGCCTGGACATGGGGCCACACATAACCATCTTCAACTGCGCTTTGGAGGCTCCTGACATGATGGGTGACACTGCATCTCTGTCCCCGACTCAGGATTCATGGGAAGATGCAACGGGAGCAAGTCCAGGAGTTGTTGCCCCTCAACCCTTGCAACAAATCTCTCTTTCATCTCTCAACCCACCAGCAGAAAACCTCCTAGAAATACTTTTTGGAGTGTTCTCTGAAAGCAACTAGGCAAATTCAGACTGTGGTTATAGTAACACCAGCTTGGCCCAGGAAAGGCAAGGCTCAACCATCAGTCACACCACATCCCATGTCAGCTGCTCACCTGGCRTGGGGAAACCTCCCCTGAGCTGGCTTATCAAACTGGTGCTTTATAAAGAGTACGTATTTGAACTTGCATTATGGAAAAAAAAAACCACAAAAACAAGCCACAGCTCTGCGGAAAGGCACCAACTGCATGGACAGGACAAGGTATCCCTGCAGATACAAGGACCCACCAATCCCTGTTGGGACACACAGCACTACATCCCATGCCAAGGGGGAGCTGGGGAGCACCCAGCCTCCCCACCCCTGGAAAAGTGGCTTGAGGGTCAATGCTCGAGCCCAGAGACCAAATTTAGGAGGCAGAACAGTTCTTCTTAGAGGGCACAACTATCCCTGCAGAGCCTGCATGCACAGTGGAGCAACATCCCCACGCCAAAGCTCCCACAAGGGTCAGTCCTCGGCTGCAAAGGCTGACCTGCAGGCAGCAGGAGCTGCCTCTGCCTGCCAGCATGGGACAGCAGCCTCCTGGTAAGCTGCAGCCATCGCTCCAGGAGCGGGCAACCTCTCAGGAATGTGCAAAGCAGGACATTTTCAAGGCAAACAGGCTGCTGAGGCAAGGCGATCCAACCAGACCAGAGTGATTCCCCAGCACCGCCCACAAGATGCTATTGAATTTATAGGGAAGGAATTCCAGAGCTGACTCTGCCCATGTATGGCCAAAACAAACTGTAAAAAAGCGACATTACAGTACATCTGGCTTCCACTGGTACTGGAGCACAGGCTTCGGGAGGAGCTGAAATCCTGCAGTGACAGAGACTCTGCAATTACCTCCAGGAACTGAGCAATGGTTGGGACCTGCAGCAGCAAGGGTTCAGCACCCAGTAAACCATCGATTTAAAGGTAACAAAGTTCTCTGCCTTTTAGAATACACCTACATTCAGTCATCCACTGCTACCACTGGAAAAAAAAATAAACCTTGCCAGGCAGCCCCAGCACACATTGATTACAACTGGTGGTCATCAAGGCAGCTTTAAAGAGTCAGCAGTCCAAGTGGCACCAAGTGGTACACCAGGACAACCTCAATGCCTTGCAGGCTGGGACTAGCTTTCCATAGATAGCTGATTAACTATTTTTCCAAAACCCACTAAAACCTCCCACAGGAGCCGTGTGCTCCACCAGCAGCAGAGTCACCTGGAGCTTTCTTCATGGTCAGAAAGGGGAGATAGTCTGAGCAATGTAGTAACTGTGGAAGAAGATGCTTGAAAAGCAATGTAAGAAGTGTCAGTTAGGTGTAGTTTCACCRAGTTTCTGACTCAAGTTTTCCAGCCTCTTGCACAAAACAATTCCCTAGGTATTGCTTTTTTCAAGGACAAAGAGTGGAATGAAGTAGAGAGTTGTCTAAGTCAGGGAAAGGAACAAAACTTTGGAAGCAGAACAGGTGGAAGAGCAGAAATGGTGGGTCTGGTGTCCCACCAGAGATGGACAGATCAAAGTTCTCCCCAGCTGTTAAATGCCACCACCTTGCCTGCCCTGCCAGCAGAGAAATATTGGCTGTGTCAGCGCGRGAGGCAAAGGGCTTACGGAATGGGAGAGGAATGCAGGCGGCAGTGGCACACACGGCAGGGACAGGGACACGAAACTCAGGCGAGTGCGGGCTGCTCRCATGCCTTTGCCTTTGAACAGGGGTCAGGCACGCCACGTTTTATGGCTCTTGGGGTTGAAACCTGGGACTAATGCTTTTGTGACCTTAGAGGGACTCCCATTTCAGCAGCAAATAGAGCTGTTAGAGGGGGTGGGAGCTCAGGGGCCTGAGCACATGAGGACAAGCTATTTCCCWGCTCCTGGCAGGCAGCCCAGAGCTGCTTTTCAGTGTGTGCAAGTTATACCCATCAGACCAAGAACGAGCTGCACTTACTGATGGGAGACCCACAATGTGGCTACTCCCTCAGCTTCACTTTCCCCAGAACAATACTGGGATCTCCCCTCCTTTTCACAGCTGAAATGGCTTTGTACCCCCTCCCTTACTACTGTCCTCACTTGAAACACAGGCACCTAAACATGACCTGGTGTTCAGTGACTGCTTCAGAACACCTTTCACCCCAAACAACACAGAGGAGAGAAACCAGAAGGATGGACACATCCACATCCACATCCAAACACAGCCTAACCAGAAGCTCCCTGCTACATGGCAACACAAATCCCCCTCCTTGCCACAGTACTAAGTTTGGAAAGTGCACTCTTGGCAGCCTGGGAAAAAAATCCAACTCAACCCTCCTGCAGAGCAGTACAGATCATMTAAAGCAGCCACTGGGTCAGGCATGGCTAATTTAAATTAAAAATTACATAAGCAGGATGACTGAGAATATTTGATTCATAAAAACATCTTGAAGGGGCAGAGAACAGGGGGACTGCTGCAGCATCACAGGGACAGACTACACAACACAGACAGCAAGGACCAGGTATGCTCATACACATGCACAGCTATGCACACAAATGCCTGCTCCTCCACCATGCACAAAAGCAGATTTAGGACTCGCAAGCTGAAGTCCTGCGCAGTCAAAAGCCAGCACAAATGTTTGTGACAGTTCCACAGGCAAAGGCAAAAACCAGGTGCAGAGGAATAAATATAGAAAGAAGTCAGGCAGGCAAAGCAGGTGCTGGCTTGTAAAACCTTGGCCAGAAAGGCTCCCCAGGAGGTTGAATCTGGTAGTTTTGCAACAGCTCCACAGAAAGACAGAAGAGACAGAAAGGAAAAAAGAGAACRTGAATGCATATGCATCCTTTTACCACCATATATAGTATATACAGACATTTGGTATATACACCCCCAAGCTCTCATATGCCACTGTATAGTATATACTATATATGCCTTGCCATCTTTGTTTCCATGTGCCTGCACTCATACAGCATGTCTGTGTGTGTGTTGGTGTATGTGTGTGTGTGTGCATTTCTGGTGCGTGCATTTGTCATTTCCCCACGTCACTCCTCTGTGCATGCTATGACACAACACATCACTCCAYGGAGCGTGGCTAAAGCCTCAGCACCACAGCCTGGGATGATTTCTGGACACTCACAGCTTCTCAGTGCTCAGCCCTTCCCCACCAAAGCCTCTGTGTGTAAGCACCACTCGGGATCCATCAGTTTGTCTCGTGTTTTCCGGTGATCCCACTCCCCCTCGGAACTTGGAGAACCACGAACAAGGTGCCACTGGCAGAAAAGCCTGACATCCTTCAGAGAAGTTGCCCCTTGTGCCTGTRAATTGTGTTTACATACCAGTTCTCACGCTGCACAGCCTCACTGCKGGGATGAACTCAGAGCAGGGCGTTTGGAAACACGCAGGGCTCCACCAGACTCACGACTTTGGGTTTCTTTCCCAGCCCTGAAAAGAAAGACACTTGAGTGATGCACACTGGATGGGCCTCCCGACGCCTTGTCTCCAAAACCCACACAACTTCTGGGAAATGCAGCRTTTTCCTCCCCAGCTTTCTTAAGCAGAAGCATCCATACTCCTGGTCCTTTTAGCACCCTGAAAAGGAAGCCCCACCACCCTGAACTGGGCCAGTGACCAGCAGTGTCAGCTTCCACAGTTTGGCCAACAATCCTCAAGTCACCACTCCTTCWCTCTTAATACCACTGAGAAGGGGGAGGGATAAGCAAATGCCAAATTAGGCATAAAGTAAGATAACAGGGTGAACCATCATTTATTTCTGGCCTTGGGCACAGTGAAGGAGCTAGAAGGCATCACTGATGCTATTTGGAAGCTCATGGAGTTACCATTACTGCGAGCAGAGCTACACCACCAGCCCTCCCCCTCAGCACAACTTTTCCTCTGAGGAGCTCTGCCCAATTCCCATGGTGGACTATCTCACCCTTCTGAAGCTGAGAASCACCTTTTCTTGATGAAACCTGCTCAGTGCTGTTTTTCCCCTTCAGCAGAAGATGAAGGCAGAGCAGAGGGGAGAACAGGTCATATGGCTATGGTTTTGCATGTGGCATGGGACATGCCAGGACACATGCCAGGGTGCACCCTACAGAGAGCAGCAAGCACGTGAATCACACACTCCTTCCTGTCCCCATCAGCCCCAGCCAGCAACATCCTGGTCACTCTAAAGCCCTCTGCCCATGACAAGCACAAGCTTGTCTTGTCATCACAGCTCTGCAGAGAAAGCTTGTGCTATTTGCTGCTGTAGCTATGGAAAAGYTCAGTTCAGACTTGAGTTTGTTGTACTTGGGATGTTCATGATGGTGCATGTGAGCCCACAAATATACAATAAAAATGGAGCAAACTGTGCAAGGGTGTTGTGGCTCATGGGCCAAGTCCCTCATCCCTGCCACAGTCARATGGCTTCCTGTCCTTCCAAAACCCCTTGTCCTCCATACAATGTCTGATGCTACAACAGCCAGGAGAGTGACTGGGCTCTTGGCTCTCTCAAGCCGTGCCACATGTCAATTGTGCCAATAGCACAAGAGCACACTGAGCTTCATTCTGACCCAGCTCAGTCCCATGGTCCCTGATTCCCCACAGGGACAGGCAGGTCTGAAAGTGCCCAGGACTATTAGAGCAACCTTCAGGTGTTAGGAGCACAGAATCAACTGGAAATTGCAATGACCTTTCCCACTCACTGCAGGCTTGGGATGAAGATGAGTAACTGCAGAGGTTTATTGCTGATGAACTCAGCCAAAGAGATATTCCTCTCCATCCATCAACAAGGAGACAAGTACAAGCAAATATTATGGYTGTGCATGTTTACTTTTCATTTTAAAATGATGTAGGGTTACATACAATTTAGGTCCTTCCCACAGGCTCCTGGCAAAACGCCCTTCAGTCTTATCTGCAAAAGCAGAAGACAACAACATTCCCCTCTGGTTCCAACGCTATTTCAATTCAACTCACAACAGCACCTCCAGAAGCTCCAGGTAAGACAATACTTCTTGGGACCCAAACTSTGGTTAAAAATCTTGGCTCAGCATCATCTCTCACCAGGTTTAACTCACAAAATATTTACAAGATCAGTGATAGGACTTGGCCAGTTGAAGTGCATCTTCCTGGCTTTCTTTCCCAAACCAGCTGTCCCCATCACGTGTGACTGGGGCTCCTGCAGCAAGGTGACCAGGACACCACATACCCTCCTGGAGGCATCCAGCTGAAAACTACCGTCAAGAGAGGGTGGTTTCACAGTAGGTTCTAAAGTATAGAAAACAACTTCTCCTGTTTGCAGATTTAATCCTAAAACCAGTCATTTGCAATGCCTGAATTTAAGCATCAATCCTGTGTTATATCTTGATTTTTCTTAGATCATTCAGATTTTTCAGGAACGGACAGTGGAAAAACTTCTGCAAGATTTCCAAGTTTCAAAGAGCAGTAGTCAGCACTTTCAGACAAACAGGCGTCCCTAACATAACTTCACAGTGGCCACGTAGAAATAGAAGCAACCAGACTGCACAATTCCTTTAAATGMAAAGTCTTACCTGTGAAAATAACTTTGGCAAATGCTAGTTACACTTCTCCCACAACAGCCTGGTTTGAATGGCATCTGTTTTTCTGACTACACGAAAGCTGCATTCACTTTTAATCTCCTTTACACTTGAAAGTGTTACCAATATTCAGAGTCTATTTATTATTATTATTACTATTATTTTTTAAATCAGCATAGCTGTACTCAGTGAAGCCCAAGTGCCAACACTGGTTCAAGTGGGATAAAGCGGCCCCGTGCTGGGATCCTTTGTTCCATTCCTTCATGAAGCAGATGGCTCAACYTGACAGCCACAAGGAAAATTGTCATTTTAACTGTTCCAGTCACCAATTTTTAAACACAGACAAGCTCTCAGCCAGTCACCCATCAGCATCAACTGACATGGGTCCGCCCTCTATGATTGGCAGGTGCACGAACAGTTCCCCAGATGCCAACCTCATTCAATCTGACCTTTTCATTTTAAATGAAAACCACTTAAAAGCCTGCCCTGTTCTGACATATGTCTTTTTATGTCTTTCCCATTCTGTGCCAATATATTTGCTGGCCAAAGTTCCCAAACTCAGAAATCTCACCTTATCTGCTCCACTGCCAGAGCCCTGACCCTCARGCACTCTGGCCACCGCCAGCACTGAGGGAGCCCTCTGAGATCTCTATGTACTCACATATCAGAAAATACCAGCCCGCTTTTATGCAAACCTCAATTCAGAGTCCAACTCTCATTTAAAATTCAGCTTATATGCATTGGTAGCTTTTACACCTGAATATGTAGACAGGGACTCATCTTTCTGCCCTGGGACACTGACACACGCAGGATCTGGCCCTAACAGTTTTCTGTGTTTCCATCTGTGCTTCTCAAATTTCATACATTAAAATTACACTGCTTGATTTGACAGTACAGTGCTGAAGTATTCTAATAAAAGGATCACCCAAGACAACAAAAGCYGGGGACGTGTTTCCTCTACTCTGCTGCCAGCACAGCACCTGCTCAGGGAGTCACCAACACAAACAGCACAGCTGCTGCCTTTTTGGAAGGCCAGATCCTGTGCTGGTGACAAGCAGTAACTCWGTGAATGGTTTCAGTCTGCAAGGGAAGCACACACCMCTCCTAGATAGCACCCRGACAGAGCTGCTTCCAAACCCACCRYAACCCCATGTGTCAAAATTAGCTATAATGGGGCTTATCGCTTCCGAGCTTCTGGTCCAGCCCTTGTCCTGGAGGAAAGCTGATGCTGACCACAGCACAGACCATCAGCTTGGATGGGGAAAATGAGCTCCCATAACAGAGCAAACTCCCTGGCAGCCTCCCTGTGCTGCAGGGTGCAGAGCCTAATGCTGAACCATTGTCCCAAGGGAGCCCCAAGGTCCTGCAGTGGTGCACAGCAGGCTTTGGAACCAAGAGACAGATTTTTTGCCTTTGCTGTCACACTTGATTTTCAGGTTTGTCCTGGGGTTCATTAAATGTGACTGAAACAAGAGGGGGGAAATGAGTTAGCAGAGCAGTGAGAGAGAGTAAAGATCATTTGGGGCAGAATAGATCAAATCAGTGGCTGAAGAAGCTGTGAGACAGCCCTATCCACGGCATCCCAGCAGCCAGGAGCCATCGGGCCACAATGGGCAGGAAACAACCCAAAAGCAGGACCAGCCACACTGCACTCCTGTTATTTTAAATGCCCAAGAACAGCTAGGAAAAAAGGGTGGCAAAGGAATGAGAGGAATCAGCATGTCTGTGCCAGAAAGCCTGCGGGTCCCATGCTGGAGCAACCTTTCAGCAGCTTCTGTCGCTGCCAGCAGCGCTGCCTGTGATTTACATGTCTGTAACTGACACCAGCATTGGATCCCGTATTTTCAAGCACAGACTACTGACCTGATGCTGCTCACACTCCCTCAGTTTACTGGAAGTGGAAGATTTTCAAAACAGCCTCAGTGACTTCTATTTTCATTTTTTCTTTTCCCCCAACCATTTGCTGTCTGTATTTCACTAAGCCTGGTCAGGGACACCCTGAGCAAGAGCRGGGACAGTTTCACTCTCTCACTCAAATACACCCCAGCTGCTTGATCAAAGAAGGATAATCGATCATGCAATATCAGAGCACTGCAGATCCTGGGTTTCAAATAATGAGCAACGTTTTTCCATCTAAAATGTAAGAAATGCCATTCTCCCACTCCCCAAGGAATGGCCATCCTCTCCAGGCAGCACTGGCAGAACAGTGCCCTAGAACACCTCTTGTGCTGTAAAATGCTCTGACAGACATTGACAGTGCCCAGGGAGCAGAAGAATACTGTGCGCCAAGGCAGATCCCAGCCCAGGATCTTGGGCAGCCCACCTTTAAGCTGAAATTTCCTAGTGCAGAGTTGGCACATGTTTGCTGCACCAAGTCTAACAGGTTTATTATAACGTTTTATTACAAAGGGTAATGTTCCTTTAATCATTTTGGTTTTAATGGCCAAAATTTGAAGGCAGAGAACACCTTCGCCCAGGCTTGCTCAGGTGCCACCACAATGAAACCCTTGGCAGYATGGCTGGCCCTCTTATCGCAGTCCTTAAAACCATTTGTAAATGAAACTTTTGAAACTTAGAGCCTACATGACCAGACAGTCTTCCTGTTCAAGGCTCACATTTTATCCAGATTACATTTTTGGCAAGATCATTTGAAAAYAGCAACAAATGGCTGGCAGACAAGTGGATTCCACACTCCTGTGCCCACGTGGCCAGGCTTGGTATTTCTGAAAGCATTATAATCCATGGAAATGTTTAAAAATGCACAATCAACCAGGACCAATAAATCTCTCTGGTTTACAAGCATTTGTCCCCTCCAAGTATTAGCCATCTTCTTTCACCTTTATATCTTAATAGCAAACTGTCCTAGTTTCAGACTTAGAACAAATACCTCCAGGTAGGATGAGC